CAGGGGACAGGTCCCTCGTCTGCCCTCCCCACCTCTCCTCCTCTTGCCCCCCTCTCTCCTGCATCTTGCGTCCTCGTTCCTTCCTTTTCTCATCCTCGTCTCGTTTCGCCTCCCCCCTGGGCCCAAGCGGCTAGAGGAGGAAGTGGACGAGAGGCGATACAGAGTGAGGGCTCTGGGCAATGCGGCAGAGTGAGGCGACAGAAGGGGAGTCGAGGCTCGACGGACGGAGGGGATCGATCGGCTTGGAGTTTTGGGTCAAGGGTTCAAGGCGAGGGAAAGGGGGAGGAGAAGAGGTACAGGGATAAGACAAGAGACAGTAACGGAGTCAGTGGGTAAGCAGGCAGTCTGTGAGAGACAAGGGCAAGATGAGAGGCAGGCGGACGCACGTGGATGCAAGCAGGCTGGGGCAGGATATGGGTCAGACAAGCAGGCACCTCGGGACACGGATGACTTGCTTCAGAGCCTTCCTTGAGCGGCCCCGAACAACCTTGAACGGCCTCGGCACCAGACGCATCCTCTTGGCTCGTCGGCTCTCGGAGATCCCCGAGGTATTCGCGCACGCTCCGTGTTCGTATCCCGCCTCGTCTTGCGGGGGGAGGGGGTCTGGACCCCAGGATTCACCCCACCGTGATCCCTGGAGACCACTTGAGGAGCGTGTTCCGACCGGGCTCTCGAGGCGGATTCAGCTGCGGCGACGAGATGGCGCTAGGAGGCCCCGAGCGTCCTCCTCGCCACCCCTTCCCTCCTCGACGGGGCGCTCGCCTCCCGGCCGCCCACCCGCAGGCGGGACGGGGGGGGGGGCTCGGGGCCGAACGAAAGGTGGGGACAGGGAAAGGAAGGGTTACGAAGTCTGCTGCACGCAGCTGGTTTCGAAAGGGGTGCCCCGCCGCTGGGCCCACTTCTCGATACATGGGCGCCTCCCGGCGCCGGGAGGCGCTGGGAAAACCAGCCACGCGAGCTCATTCTCTACCCTGCCCCTTTGCTATCGCCTCCTTTCGTGCCCCCCCGAGGGGCGGCGGCGCTGGCCAGGCCCGCGCGCCCGCGGCCGGCGGCGGCGGGGGCGCGCTCGCCATGGCCGCGCAGCGGGGCGGCTCCGGCCTGGGCGCCTGGGGGCTCTGGGCTGGAAGGGGCCCCCACCGCGGCGGGTGTCGGGTCGGACATACGGAGCAGGCAGGGGCTGCGGGGGCGACAGTTGCTGCATGCAGCCGGTTTCGGCCCCGCCCGAGGGCCGAGTCGCTGCCCTCAATCCGTTGCCCCCCCTCCTTTGGTCCGACCCGCGTTTTCTCTCGCCACTCTCGGGTTCTATGGGGCTCCGTTTCCGGGCCCCGCGGCCATCGACTGAGTACAATGTCACGGGCCACGCCAGCGGCGAGATGGGACGCAACCGCTTCGGGGTTATATGTAGCACCCCGCAGTTGCGGACAAGAGTGAGGGGGCGGGCGCGGGGTGGGTCGCGGGTGGGTCGCGGGCGGGTCGCGGGGTGGGTCGCGGGTGGATCGCAGGTGGATCACGGGTGGGTCGCGGGCGGGTCGCGGGTGGGTCGACGAAAACAAACAACAAACAACGCAACAACAACAGCAACAGCAACAACAACAACAGCAATCATTTTAATAGTGTTCGCTATTACCTGATCGCGGGCCAACCCTCGATACCCGCCTTCTTCGTCTTCGGTCGTAACCCCCTTGGGTGTATACATCTGTCTTACCTGCAGCGTGTATTTCGTGCAGCCCCTGAGGCAGGGGAAGAGAGGACGGATGGAAGGGAGGAACAATGGGATGGGAGGAGGATGGAGCACAAGTGAGAGTAACAGGAGGAGGGATAAGAGCAAAAAACATGTGGCAGAACCAGAGGGGCAGGGGCGGGTCGGGAAAGCGGGCAACAGCGGCCAGGTCGAGCAGGCGAGTTGCTGAAGCGCGCGCCCTGCATGAATCGCGAGGAAATCTCGAGCGATTGCCCGATTGTTAAATAAATCGTTATAAACCGACAGCGAGAGGGTGATTCCTGAGTGTCGAGGGCGCGGCGTCTGAGTAAATTACCAGGAAATCCCACCCAAGAGCACGATTCCTGTGTAAAGTGTGAGGGCGTCCCGCGCGAGAGCGCGTATCAGGCGGGAACCGCTGTTGTTGTACACTGGGGGCCAGGGGCTCAGTTTGGGGGCACTTCGCCTTTCTTTTTTTTAATGAAAAAGAGCGGGAGCCCCGGGAGAAGCATCTTAATTGAAAAGTGCAATGGTTCCCGGGCAGGGGGGGTCAGCAACAATTCTTCTGTATAAGTGAGAATACAACAGCAGCAACAGCAGCGGCAGCAACAACAACAGCAACACCAGCACCCACAATGATCATAACAACAGCAGCACCAACGACAACAGCAGCAACCCTGATTCCAAGACTGTTCGGAAGCTCCGCGCGAGAGGGAGAGATGTTTCAGTAGATTGCGAGGAAGTATGCGGCGGGAGCCGTTGCTGTTATATCTCGGGGGTCAGGGGTGCATGTTTGTGAGACCTCACTTCCCCTTGTAAAAGAACATGGCGCGAGCCCCAGGAGGAGCACTTTAATTGAAACTTACAATTGTTACCGTAGGAGGGGTCACCAATACTGATCAGAGTTCAATAACACCCACAACAACATCAGCAACAATCTTACATACAAGACCAGTAACCTTAACGACCACACAAACAACACCAACACCAATCATGTCACGACTGTTCGCTCTTATCTTCTCGCGTGCCGTTCAACACGTATGTCCTCCACCCTCGATGCCAGCCCTCTTGGTTTTCGATCGTTCCCCCTTGCGGGCACATCTTTCTTAGCTGCAGCGTATATTTCGTGCAGCCATTCGGCAGGGGAAGAGAGGACGAATGGAAAGGGACAAGGGGGAGGGAGGAGGATGGAGCACGAGAGGGAGTAGCAGGAGGGGGGCTAGGAGCAGAAAGCGCGCGGCAGAACAACACGGGCAGATCTGGCGGGTAGACCAGAACGGGCGGGTCCGAAATACGGGCCCAGGCGGTCAGGCCGAGCAGGCGGGTTGCTGAAGCGCGGGCCGCGCATGATTCGCGAGGAAGTCTCGAGCGATTTCGCGATTGCCAAATAATCGTCAGAAGCCGACAGCGAGAGCGTGATTCCTGAGTGTCGAGGGCGCGGCGTCTGAGTAAATTACGAAGAAGTCCCACGCAAGAGCGCGATTCCTGTGTATAGTGTGAGGACGTCCTGCGCGAGAGGGAGAGATGTTTCAGTACATTGTGAAGAAGTGTGAGGCGGGAGCCGTAGCTGTTATAACTCGGGGGCCAGGGGTGCATTCTTGTGATACCTCACTTCCCATTGAAAAGAACATGGCGCGAGCCCCAGGAGGAGCACTTCAATTGAGACTTAAGATTGTTACCGTAGGGGGGTCAATCATATCCATTTGTAGAGATGAGAGTTCAACAACGCCCAGAAAAACAATCACACAAGCAACACTCTTACATACAATACCAGTAACCTTACCGACCACACAAACAACAACAACAATCATGTCACGACTGTTCGCTCTTATCTTCTCGCGCGCCGTTCGACACTTATATCCTCCACCCTCGATACCAGCTCTCTTCGTTTTCGATCATTCACTCTTAGTGGTATATCCTTCTTAGTCGCAACGTGTATTCGTGCAGCCCCTAAAGAGAGGACGGCTGGAAGGAAGGGACAAGGGGGAGGGAGGAGGATGGAGCACGAGAGGGAGTAGCAGGAGGGGGGCTAGGAGCAGAAAGCGCGCGGCAGAACAACACAGACATATCATAACTGGCGGGCCGGGAAGGCGGGTCCAGGCGGCCACGTCGAGCAGGCGGGTTGCTAAAGCGCGTGCTTTGCATGAATCGCGAGGAAGTTTCGATCGATAGCGCGATTCCCAAATAAATCGCCAGAAACCCGCAGCTATAGCGTGATTCTTGATTGTCGAGGGCGCGGCGTGGGAATAGATTGCGGCGAAGTCCCACGCGACAGCGCGATTCGTGTATGAATTGTGAAGACGTCCCGCGCGAGAGCGCGATTTAGGAATAAATTGTGTGGAAATATCCAGTGGGAGCCGTTGCTGTGGCAACTCGGGGTCCCAGAGGCGCAGTTTGGTAAACCCACATTGTCTTTTGCAAGAAACAGGGTGTGAACTGTGAGCCCCGGAAGGAGAACTTTATGGAAAATAGTACATGTATTGGAGGGCGACCAACAATATTTATCATTCAAGCGTGAGAACCAAATAGCAACAGCCCGCACCGCGGAAACCCACTTCAGCCACGCACCAAGAAACAGTGCATGACCGTTCGGCCCCGGCACTCTGATCTTGTTATTGTTATAGCAGCTATGCGGTGTAGACATCGGAAAACGCCACCGACGTATATGATTTCATGCACGGGGGGACATCAGTATTTTCAAGTCGGCCTGGACATTTTCAGATCGGGCGTGTACTTCAACCTCTCGTTTGTGTATATATATATATTATAAATGTCCGTCCGCTCAGGTTGACCTTCCCATTTTCAGGCCCAGCCAGATTGACATGTTCTGGAAGATTTAAGGTCCCGCCAGGTGCGGACTGACTGGACATCAGCATGTCGGGGAAACGGCACCCTCTCTTGTGAAGTCAGATGTGGTCGTCCGGTGTACGTTTTTGCTGCTGCACTGCTGGGTCCGGGCTCTTGTCAGGGTCTTGGGCGTTCCGCAGGCTGTTTAGGCCATTCGTCTAGGCTTGTCCCGGGAATGTTGCAGTGCAGTGTTTGTTCGTGCCGCCGTCTGGGAAAAATGGTTTCGAGTGATGTTGGATGTCTTGGTCTTGCGTGTCCAGGTTCACGGGGCATGGAACATTGATTCCCAGTGGCCTTCGCATGTACAGGCCGCTGTATTCATGGAATCCGTTGCCTTTTGGCTCAAGCCGTGAAGCTCGAACAGCGCCCCAAGGTTCCGATCGGGTCCGCTCGTAGACGCCCTTGTATTCGTTCGAACCCGCGGCAGCGCTCCAAGTGCGGAGGCCTTGTAGCGATGGCGGGCGAGGAACCAGATATGGACCGTTTGATGCGTGAGATCGAAGAACGTCTCGTGCAAGCTATAGACCTAGAAGATGCAAGGCCGGGCCAGGCAGCGCGTTCACCGGCGCATGGTGCGGCAGCGACCCTGACAGCGACCGATTGGGAGGCCCCTTCCGAGCTTCCGCCGACGCAATCCGCGTTGCCTGCTGATGCGGCGAACGATGGGACTTCACCACCAGTCTCTGCTTCAGCACCAGACAGTTTTATAGCTCCTGATCCCAAAGATCTCCACGGAGTTCGGCCGTTCACATCCGAGGGGCAGCAGGAAGTGGCGGCCGAATCGACGGACTCGTCTAGCAGGCGCGCTGATCATCGCGCCGCCGATCGCCAGCACTTAGCATCCCCTCCAGGTCTGGATGGTGCGGCAGCGCTCCAGCCCCCGCGCCAGACCAGGCAGCCAGAGTACGCATGGTCCCCGGCGGGCTTGCTGTCCGCCCCTGGGCCCCGCCACCCCTTCTCCTACCCAGGGCGGCATCCTCAGCAGCCCCATCTGGTGCTCCCCAGCGCGTGCCACTGGTCGTTCGGAGAGCAGGCCGGCGCCCCCACAGCCCCCGCCCAGCCCTCCCACAGCGGAGCGCCCCTGCCGCTAGCGACGCACCACCAGACGGACGCCCGCGTGCAGCAGGCGTTCGGCGGCGCGGCACCGCCAGGGCTGGCTGCCGAGTACAGCGTTGCGAGGCAGGCAGCGCCTGGGCCAGGCTGCCGAGCCCCACCGCCAGGGTGCTTCGTGTGGCGCAGGCCAGGGTCCGAGCAGGCCTGGCAGGACGGCGGGGCGCCTCGCACCAGGGGCCCCTGCTTCCTGAAGCTGCTGGTGCAGAGATACCGCGCTGGCGCCGTCATTGGCCCCAACGGCCTAGAGATTCAGAGAATGCAGCAGAGGACTGGTTGCGAGATCACCGTCTCCCGTGCCGACGACACTTTCCCCGGCACCGATTGCCGCATGTTGGTGGCCAGCGGCACGGAAGAGGATGTGGGTCGATTCTTAGAGATGCAGATCGAGTTCTTGGCGAGGCAGTCCAGGACCGACACCGACAACATCGTGACCCTGAATGTGGTGATCCCGAGCTCATCGGCTAGCGCGTTGATTGGTCGCGGCGGCAAAGTGATGCAAGAGATGACTAGTCGAACGAGTTGTGCTTTCTCGATCACAGAACGTGTCAAACAGCTGCAGGAGCGTATACTCACCGCCAAGGGCTTGCCGTCCAACCTGCTGGTCGCCATGAGAGAGATCTCCCGCACGCTGCAGCATGATTCAAACATCTCCAGTCACGCTGATCTGCTGCAGTATGATGTCGACATCGAGCCGGGAGCCTGGTACCGTGGGAGAGCTGAGCCACGGGATCCCCAGATGATTCTGGTCCATCCTGAGGACGCTGGGGCTCTTACCAAGCATGAGCTCCTGGAGTACTTGCGCTCGGCTGCGCCGATGGGGATTCTGATCGAGAACGGCCTCATGGGGAAATCCAGGAACGTGGTCAAGTCCAAGTGCGTCGCTGACATACACGGCTGCGTGCAGCAGACGTGGGACGTGCGTGCTGGGCAGGGGCCTGGACGTGGCCCGATCTGCATTGTCCCTCCTGTAGGACTGCCGCTCGCACCTGGCCTTGTGATCAGGTGAGTTCAACTGGATGGGGAGCATGGGCGGTACTAGATGTCTTCCTCTCGTTATGTGTCTTTGTTGGCGGCTTGGGCAGACCTGCATAGGGGATGGAACATATATAGTTTTGTGCATGTCTTTGCTGCGCTTTTTAAATGGCGCTGCATCCGATTCCATCCTGCTCCCCCAGGTCTGCCATTTGCGAGATAGGGGCGCAGGTAATCACTGTAATCGTTCTCTGTCTCTTCTTGATTCCCCTTTCTTCACCGAGCGCGTTCCGCTACTCGCGAAGTGCCTACTCGCAAGCGTCCGAAACAACAACATGTATTTCCATATGTAATGGATCGTACCCCCCCCCGCCGCGGATCCAGGCCATTTGTGAGTAGTTACTTTGCGAGTAGTGGAACGCGCCTGTCTATTTCAAGGAGATCGGTTGTACCCTCTTCCGGAGGCCGGAGTTAATGGGCCTCCCTCGCGATCTGCAATTTGCGCATGATTCTGACCCAATGTACTTTTCACAGTTCAACTCATACCATCCAAGTCCAGCCGACATCGACCCCCACCCCATCCCATGCAACAAATACCATGCGCGCGCACTCGTGTATCAAAACTCAGCAGTTTTCAATAAACCCTTGCAACAAAAAAGGACGAAGTGCACACACGCGCGTCGTCGCGCGCGCATGTCAACATCCTTCAAGAACCGTAGGTCTCGTAAGGATTGCAGAACCGAGTGTCACGAAGGCAAATAAAAACACATGGTCTCGCAACCCGAATTTTCAAAACAAGGGTGCGCTCGCGCTGTTGCGAATTCTTGAAGAACCGCTCCAGTTTTTCAACATCTCCATAACATCGTTCCAACTTGGCCTCTCGTGCGCGCGCGTGTCGAAATCGTTCGGACGTCCTTGCGCGCGTGCTGTCGCAAGAACCCCTTGCAAACAAAACAGGACGAAGTGCACGCGCGCGCGTCGTCGCGCGCGCATGCCGATTTGTTTCAACCGCCGTCGGTTTCATACGGATTTCAAAATCGAGTGTCAAGAAGACATATAAGAACGTCTGCTTTTGCAACATCAGGTTTCAAGAAAACCTGCGCTCGCGCTTTTGCGGGTTTTTATTCAACAACAGCGGATTTCCAACATCTTCATTCAATTCTGCCAAACAGGTCTTTCGCGCTGCATGTCGACCTCATTCGAGCGCCCTTGCGCGCGTGTTGGGGGGGCACGACCCGTGTCAGATAATACCACACGGGCCATTCCCGCGCGCCGGCCGCGCGCGCATGTCGAGCTCCTTCTGCAAATTTCATCGCCGACGCGACGAGAAATCGTCATCGTTATCGGCGGGCGTGATCAACATCGGCGCCGTCATTGGCCTTGCCGTTGTCATCGCCACCATCGTCACCGTCATCGCTACTTTCATGATCGTTTCTACCGTTGTCGTCGTCGCCATGATACCGCGCCCGCCCAAGTCACCGATTCGCACTGAAGTCGGAAGTGCCCCGCGGTCAGCGCCACCGCGGCCGCGCCGGTCGCGCCAAACTGGCTGGCCGCTGTGCGCGCGAGCATGCGCGGGCTAGCGCGGCCGCAGAGATGCACCAGCCAACGCCAAGCACTCATCGCAATCGCCGCCGCATGGGTTTAAGTTGCGGGTGGGTGGGTGGGATGTTTGCAAGAGCATGGAATGTCAATTCGCTTGTAAATCTCAATGCTAGCTTCATGGTGTTCCAACCTTTTGTTTGCCATGGCCACCAGAAATTATTTCACGCGCCCCAGCAAGTATCGAAACTGCGCTTTCCCAAAAAGTCGGCGGAACGCCGAATTGGCGCTGATTCCCAGGGCCCGACACTTAACACATTGTCCACTGGCGTCGGCTTCGTCTCGCGAGCGACACAAGGAGTATCATAAGAACATGTCTTCGTTTCGTGCTGTCACGAAAATTGTCGCATCATCTGCGCGTGGCTTTTTGATAGCTAGCCAAAGCAGGCGTCGCTGATCGATGAAGACGCAATCCTCGCACCTCGGACGTTTCGATGTTTCAACGCGGGGGCCGTGCGATTATGCCCCGTGTACCCACGCTGTCAATCGAGGGGAATCGCGAGCGCATTCTTCGTTAACCTGTTACATTCCGCGCTCAATTTCCCAGGTTTTCTTACGCGCGCGCGGAGGCCCCCACTTTTGTGGAAGACATGAGAAGGCGCGGCGAACCGTGAATGGCATACATGAGGCGCTATTGCCAAACAGGGCTCATACAATCATGTTGCGCAAGCGCATCCAGTATGGTCGGGATGTAATTGGGTGTGCTATGGATCTGGGTTGTCGGAGAGGGTTTGCCCGATAAACGCAATTGCGAACGCTGGCGAATTGTCGTGCCCTTCATCGCTTCGCCCTCTCCCTCCTCCTTGCGGTTCCTGGAGCGAGGCTGCGACATGCAGGCACCGGTAATCCAGTTGGGGTTGGAGTCGTGTTTCAGCACTGGAGTGCATCCGTTTGGGTAGGTTGACAGTTTCGCCATACGACTCGCTTGAATGTTGGTTATCCTTGGTCGGCACCGCCATCGGGATTTGATGCGTTTTCTTGGCACGCATTCTACAATACAGCATACACGGTACATTCGTTCGAAGCCCGATCCGAGGATGACAGGGGGAGTGAAGAAAGTGGACGACCCGTTTGGAGACCAAAGCGAGGAGGGAGGGGTCGATTTTCTCTTCCTTTCCCTCCCTCGTCGTTCTCAGGTCCTCAGGCTGCTTCCTCCAACTTCCCTCTTCATGCTCGTAATTGCTCCTCCCGCTTCCCTCCTAATGTTGCCTGCCTTGTTCCTCAGACTTTTCCCCACCTCCCTTTACTCCTTCCTCGTTCCTCCCTGTTTCTTACCCCCCCCTCCTTCGCCATCCTCCCTCCCGCTCCCCCGTCCTCCTTCCTGCTCGTTCTGCCTCCTTCCTGCCTCCACGTAGTTTTCTTCCGTCTTCGCCCCCCCCCTCTTCCTATTCCTCCTGCGTCGTCAAGCTGCCCTATGGTACATTCTGAAAGTTGGGCGCGGCAGCCTGGAGCAGGAAGCTAGGCCCTGGAGATGAAGCGGGGGCCGGTGATGAGGTTGAGGCGGAGGTTCAAACTTAGGCCGAGCCCGAAGGTCAGCCTAGGCCTTGACCTGTGCCTCAGCCCCAACCTCCACGTCAGGTCCAGCCCCATCCACAGACACAGCCTCCGCCTGCTCATCGATCGCACTGGCACCTTCGGGCGGTCGTAACTGGCACCACTGGTTGACCCCAGCGCGCGTGCACGATCTGCCCCGACACTACCCGGAGCATCTTGTTCCCCACCCGACAGCTTGGGGTCGTCAGATTTTAAGAACAGAATTTCCGGCCCGCCCGCCTTGCATACCGCGGCCGCCAGATCTCCAGGTTCCCGATAATCCTTGGTGGTCCCGCCCCCCCCCGCTTTGCATATTGCAGCCGCCAGATCCCCAGATTCCCGATAATCCTCAGTGGTCCCGCCCTCAGCGCCGACTCGCCCACTCTGTAAATTGCGGCCGACAGATCCCCAGGTCCCCCGATCATCCCTGAGGGTCCTGCCCCCCGCGCCGAATCGCCCACTTTGCATGCCGCGGCCGCCAGATCCCCAAGTCCCTCACAGAACAGAGCAGAACACCACACCACAGAACAGAACGTATCCGAGCATAACATACCATATCATGACAAGCCATATCGTAACAAAGCACACCATGACAGAGCAACGCGTACCATAGCAGAGCATCGCAGCACAGACCATTACATACCATGACAAAGCGAGCATACCAGAACACATCAACGCAGAGCTGAACACCTCAACACAGACCATGACATGTCATCGCATAACATGGCATGACATACCGTAGCACAACATATCATAACAACGCATGCGATGACAGCTCGGAGCATACACAGCATGGCATACCAGAGCAAACAATACCATGGCGTAAAATAGCATCCCACACGATAAACTGAAGCACATTATCACCTCACACATCGTTCCATACCATGACAAAACATAGCATGGCCGAGCGTGGCATCAAATGCTATACTATAGTAAAACATCGCATCTCATAACAACAACAGCTGGACCATGCCAGAAGGTTTCGGTGGGGACCGCTCGAAGCATTTTTTCGTCGGCCCCGACGCCCTCTTTGCAATTCTTACACTGTTGACACCTTCCGACACGAATTTGACACCTGAAGAACGTTCGCCGCCAAAAGGGGCGTCATTCCCGACACCCGAAAAGCGTTCGTTGTTCATGAGGGTGTGAGCACCGACCTTGTTGTTGCTACCCTGTTGCGCAGCCCGACACCGTATTGGCACTCTTGCGACACTGTGTTGACAACGCATGTTGATAATAGATGGGAACTCTGGCGGTACCCTTTTGTGGTGCAATTCTGACGCAGGGTTGAAACTATTTTGCCGCTCCCAGGACACTCGGTTGAAACTCCTTGGACACTCTCTTGACATTTCTTCCTAACTCCGTCAACAGAGTTGTGACACTCTGTTGGTACCTCCCGCGCAATATTATAACACTCGGGTGGCACTCAGTGGGCAGCATTGTTGTGACATGACGGTGGAACCCTCACTCGCTGGTTTGGGAAGGAAATTGTAGGGGCATGGAGGAGTGCGGAGAAGCGCTGCGGAGCGCGGGGGAGTGTGGCGGAGCGCAAATGAGCGCGGAAGAGCGTGGAGGAGTGCAGAAGGGCGGGGAAAGAGTGCGAACGAGCGGGGGCAGCGCGCAGGAGCTGGGGGGGGACGGGCGGAAGGCGGAGGAACCAGAGGAGAGAGGCGGTCTGGAAAAAGCGTGGATGTGCACAGAGGAGCGGCGGGGGAGGCGAGGTGGGCGGAGGTCCCCAAAAGGGTGCGGCAGACGTGGGTGTGTGGATATGTATGTTTGTGTGTGTGTTGCGTGTGTGTGTGTGTGTGTTGCGTGTGTGCGTGTGTGTGTGTTGCGTGTGTGTGTGTGTGTGTTGCGTGTGTGTGTGTGCGCTTGTGCATGGAACGAATTGGGCCCTAT